TCCAGTTTTGGGCCCCACACTACAAGAAGGATGTGGAAAATTTGGAAAGAGTCCAGTGGAGGGCAACAAAAATGATTAGGGGTCTGGAGCACTTGACTTATGAGGAGAGGCTGAGGGAACTGGGATTGTTTAGTCTCCAGAAGAGAAGAATGAGGGGGGATTTGATAGCTGCTTTCAACTACCTGAGGGGGGGTTCCAAAGAGGATGAGCTCGGCTGTTCTCAGTGGTGGCAGATGACAGAACAAGGAGCAATGGTCTCAAGTTGCAGTGGGGGAGGTCTAGGTTGGATATTAGGAAACACTATTTCACTAGGAGGGTGGTGAAGCACTGGAATGCGTTACCTAAGGAGGTGGTAGAGTCTCCTTCCTTGGAGGTTTTTAAGGCCTGGCTTGACAAAGCCCTGGCTGGGATGATTTAGTTGGGAATTGATCCTGCTTTGAGCAGGGTGGTGGACTAGATGACCTCCTGAGGTCCCTTCCAACCCTGATATTCTATGATTCTATGAAAACAGACACAGCCCTCCCAGAGCTTGCAGTGCTCTCTTTTGGATAGGCTGCCAAGTTCCTGAAACTCCAGAGCTAGCAGAGCCTAGAAAGGTTGAAGAGGCATGGCGATACTATGCATTTATTGGTATAATTTGTTTCATTTGGGTTGGAGGGAGCTGGAATAAGCCATCATGGTAAAAGTTATGTCGCTTAAGTACTGTGTTCACACTAGCAATCCTTTGGTACAGTATATTGGTACATCTATAGTGGCAAAGTGTAACCCTGGCCTGGTTGCTGCAGCAAAAAACTTCTCAGTTGAAAGAAATGTCTCTAGCAGCAAACTTTCCTGGCAGGGCAGTATGTTTTACTGTACTCATGTGACCAGGTGGTGCTGCTACACAGCCTTTCAAGTTGTTTTTCTTAGGGTACGTCTACACTACCCGCCGGATCAGCGGGTAGTGATAGATCTATCGGGGATCGATTTATCAATCTCCAATCGCTCTGCCATCGACTCCAGAATTCCACCACGCCGACAAGCAGAAGCGGAGTCGACGGGGGAGCGGCGGCCGTCGATCCCGCGCCGCGAGGACGCAAAGTTAGTGATTCTAAGTCGATCTAAGATACATCGACTTCAGCTATGCTATTCTCCTAGCTGAAGTTGCATATCTTAGAACAATCCCCCCGCAGTGTAGACCAGGCCTGAGTGTGCGAGCAAATGTTCAGTTTTGGGAAGAGATGCTGTGTTATTGTTAATTTTGGTTACGCAAGTTTGTTAGGAAAGGAAGCTGTGTGAGTAGCAGGGGAGTTTGTTCTTTGTCATGGTCTCTGATTAGAGTAAATTCTTGAGGCAGGTTTGCTCCCTGGGTTATGGGCATTAATGTTGGGATGAGATTCCTGAAAGAGTTATTTGCCTACATGCTGTGTGTGATCACCACAGTGTCAGGACAGGTGTTGATGTGTAAAGAAAACAAGTTATGCTTAGTATCCTCAGACTCCACTGACAAGCTGACTTACAAGTCCAGGACATCTGCTACTCAACACTGGTTTTAGCAGTGGGACACTGGTATTGGGAAAGAGACAATAATATTTACAGAAGGGTCAGAAGTGGGAGCAGAGGACTCAGCCTGGTGTTAAAAGACTGATCAAAATGCTGTCCGAATTCTAGTGTAGCAGTTAAGTATAGGAAGCAGCTGTTACACTGAAAGGAACAGCATGGGGACGTTTGTGTATTGGTCTGTATCAGTGTGTGAGGTGCTTTCGTGCTTTGGTAACAATAATAATCTCCAGCATCTTCAGCTTCAACCCTGCTGATTGTGAGAGTGAAATCGGTCCCAGAGCCACTGCCACTGAACCGGTCTGGGATCCCAGAGGCACGGGTGGAAGCAAGATAGATAAGGGGCTTAGGAGCTTGTCCCATTTTCTGCTGGTACCAGGCTAAGTACTTATTGCCTTGGTAAGTAAGGCTTGAACTGGCTTTGCAGTTGATGGTGATTCTGTCTCCTGGAGACACTGCCAGGGATTCTGGAGTCTGAGTCATCACAATCTGCCCACTGGCATCTGGATTTATGAATAAAATGTAATGTAATACATTATTTATTTATTTACATATACACACACAAGAAAAAACATGAGAAAGCTGCGAGGAAAAGACAAAGTGATTTAGAATGAAAGTTTAATCTTTAGTACCATATATATGGTGCTAAAGATTAAACTTTCATTCTAAATCCCTTTGTCTTTTTTGCTCGTAGTTTAAATAAGAGAAACGTTCTCTAAAGTTAGTGATGCTCTCTGATGAAAGTATTGTTTGATATTCAGCCTTTCGAGATTGAAACGTTTGTTTTTTTTATTGGCTCAATCTGTAGCTCTTTCAGGCAGAGACCATCTGTGTCTGTACAGTGCCTAGAACAAAGGTGCCTTGGTTCCTATTCAGGTCATCGAGGTGCTACTGCAGTGTAAATAAATAAAAAATCATTTTAATTCAGACAGTTTGATCCTTACCCTGGATCCAGAGCACTAACAGCCAGATGAGTGGAGCCTGTGAGATCATCTTGCTACGTCTGACCGGCTGGCTGCTGATGAACAAGCCATAACAACAGAAAGAGAACATTTATAACAGCTTACAGGAGCAGGGAAATATCACGTGGGGGTGGGAATATGCAAATCTGCGTCAGATGAAAATTTATGTGATCGATACACATGCACAAAACCAGAAGGGGCCCCACATGAAATTGGCAAGTTCAACCCTATGGACCTGGGCCAGCTCCCTCACTATGGACTGAAATGCCACTTGTCAGGTTGACTGGGAATAAATGTTCTGGGTTCATAATTCTTGCTTAGGTCCCAGTTAGTATCACTGTTACACCTCAGATCTCCTGACAATGATACAGTGTATTCTCTGTGTGTGCGGAGTGGAGGAGGAGTGTGTGTGGCTGTGCACAGGTCAGTTAAAGCACTCAGTAAACGGGTGAACCCTGAATAGATGGATTAAGGCTTGAAGTCAGTAGGAATCTTCCCATTGACTTGAGTGGGTTTTTGTATCAGGCCCTCGGTGCTAATCCCTGTCTCCTTATTTACACGTAGGGGTCAGCACAAGTGCAGCTAGACAGCGTGGTGAATGTGGTCTGTTCCTGTGCTCTGCCTCCTCCCAGCTGCAGGGGATGGAGAGGCACAGGCCAGGGCGGGGATGTCAGGGCTCTGAAGGCTGCATGCAGCTCCTGACTCAGCCTGTCAGTGTCATGCCATGTCTCCAGTACATGGGTGGCTAGGGAGCACCCTGAGTTGTTCCTTTGCTGCAGCCTTCCCGGGCTCCAGGAGCCCCAGAGCTCAGGCTCTCACTTCTTCCCCCCACCTGGCGGCACTGCCAATAAACTCCTGGGCTGACCAGGTCTGTTTGAACTCTGAAATGCTCACCGTGTTTATAGGGCAGTAAGTGAAAGTCATTGTTTGGGTTTTGGGAACTGAGTCATTTACCCTGGGGAAAAACAGTTCAGATGAGAGCCCGAGGGATTTACTTTCCAAATGTGTACTTCTTCCTCTCTGTGCTGCAGGCTGGGGAGCAGTGGCAGCACTGCAGTGTCTGTAACCCCTGCCCTCCCCACCCCTGCATCAGGTGTGGCAGTTGCACAGATAAAGTGACCATTTAGGAAGCAGCTGTGACACTGAACTGAACCGCACAGGCAGGTTTTTGTGCTGGTCTGTATCACTGTGTGAGAGGGGAACTGTGCTGCTGCTGACAGTAATAATCTCCAGCATCATCAGCTTCAAATCTGCTGATTGTGAGAGTGAAATCGGTCCCAAACCCACTGCCACTGAACCGGTCTGGGATCCCAGAGGGACGCGTGGAAGCACCGTAGATAAGGAGCTTAGGAGCTTGTCCCATTTTCTGCTGGTACCAGGCTAAGTAGTTCTTGTCTTTGTATGTAAGGCTTGAACTGGCTTTGCAGTTGATGGTGACTCTCTCTCCTGGAGACACTGCCAGGGATTCCGGAGTCTGAGTCACCACAATGTCCCCGCTAGAGTCTGAATTAACAAACAAAATATAAATGAATATGTACATGTGTAGTCTCTCTCTCTAGTCTATACGTATAGCATATATATACATATAGTTAATCAAAATACAATATTATAAATATTCCAGTGATAAATCATCTTTGAGAATGATGCTAACATTGTTTGAGCTGAGTTTTTTTCATTCCAAGCTGTTTTCAATTGCTTGTATTTTTCTCAGACCTCTTTTCCCTTTTAGGTGCAATTAGGAGCCATCGTTACAGAAGTTACCGTCATGAACTGAGGAATGATTATATATCAATATACAACATTTCTTGGTCTTACATTTTTTTGATAGATAATTGGGGCTTAAATGATCCCGACCCTCCTCCTTTATTTGATTCTTACCCTGGATCCAGAGCACTAGTAGCCAGATGAGCTGAGCCTGGGAGATCATCTTGCTACGTCTGAGCGGCCCAGTGCTGATCAACAAATGGTAACAGTGACATGGAACATTTATAATGGCTCAGAGCTGCAGGACCGTGTCACCTGAGTGTGAAATATGCAAATTTAGTTCAGAGATGAAAATTCCCAGCTGACCTAAACCAGGCAGAAAAAGGGAAGTAAAAGGAGCCCTGGGTTAAATAGGGAAGTACAAACTGCTGGGCCCTGGGAAGCATCCTGAGTTTTCATTGAAGTGCTAGTTTTGTTGATCGTGATGGTGGTATCCAGATGTCTCCATCTGTCTCAGGACCCAATTGTGCTGGGTGCTGAACAATCCCATATTAAGTGACAGTCCCTCTCTCACTGTGTGTTGAAATAGCATTTGTCAGGGTGGAATGGGAATAAATATTCTCAGCTCTTCAGTATTGCTTGGCTGTTGGTTTACATTTAATGGCCTCAGAACCATTGTTATGCTAGGAATCGCCTCACAAAGATAAATTCAGTGGTGTTGATTAGAGATCTCCGTTAGGGGAACTGTGCCGGGGGAGGGAGGTAACTCCTTTCTTCCTTATTACTCCCCTCTGGGTCGATTAGTCATCACCTCACAAAATCTATAATGATGCACAGGGCTGTGGGACCTTTAACCCTTAAACATCCATTTCTGCCATGTAAATCCCAAAGGTAACTGTAGTGTACAGGAATAGGCTAGTCTCCCATTAAATAGTTTGTGAGCCCTGTGGCAGTGCTCCCCATGTTCTGAGTAAGTCGCACGAATAGACCTTGATTTTCATTCCTGGAGATTTAAAGTTAGACGCATAATTCTGTATTTCAGCACCTAGAATACCTGGCCTCATTTTCAAAAGCATGGAACTTCCATCATCGCCCATTGGGAAGGCAGTTGAATGTGGCCATCTGGTGTAAACTGAGTGGAAGTGCAGCTTCTTGCTTAAAGAGGGTAGGTGTGTAAAGCAGCCATTCTGTTAATTTTCCATCCCGGTGCCTTGCTGTGGCGGCGCCAGGACCATACAGCGCCCCGGACCTCGGCAACTCCCACTGATGACAATGAGATTATAGAAGGTGTCAGATGCACCTGGAACAAATGGTTCTGCTGCTGCCACCAGCCTTTGGGATTCCTTGTATGGTTAGATGAGAGAGAGAATCGGAACGGTCTCTGGCCATCCTACACAGAAGCTCTCCCTGGCAATGCCACCTATAGTGTGGGCTGTGATGCCCTGTACACCTGTCCAGATGAGTGGCAGTTGTAGGTGCTTAGTGCTCTGCAGCCTTGTGCTGTTTGAGAGTTTTCCCCATTAGGGCATAATCCAGCCCAGACCTCTAGGATATGGCAAGCCCTCTGTGTCCTTCGCCATCAACATTACTGGCAATGTAGTTCTTCTGTTTTTCAGGAGTTCTATCTGTTCATTTTATTTAGGTTTAAGCACTCCTTTGGGACACCACAGTCCATCACAGAGTGTAGTGGGATCGAGCTCACTGCCAGGAAATACTGTTTCTGATTTATGAATGTCTTTTATTCAATTGAGCACTGTAATTTCTTTAAAAAAAATGTATTGACACTAACTGACCCAGTGAACAGACCAAGTAAAAGGGGAAATCCTGCTCTTATAAAACAACAGTAGAGGGATGGTCCAAAACACTGCGTTGATGCTAATATACGCTGTAGACTTGGGACCATGAGTGCAGTATTTTTATACGGGTGGTGAAAGGAATTAACCTGTGCAAGCACGAGAGCTAGGGCCAAGATCAGTTTCTTATCTGTAACCCATGCGATGCAGTCCACAGCTTTCCAGTGTATTTTAACTATCCTAATAGAAAAGTGACTGACCTTATACAAGATCTTTTATCTGCATCTTTGGGGTTCTCCAAGATGAGTCAGTCTACAATGTTGTTTATTATGAAGACACAGTACCGCTCTGTGATTCAGGTTGTCACCAATTTCTGTTTTAAAGCCTGTGAATAGTCCCTATGATATTTTGCCTTGGAAAATGTATTTGCTTTGAAAATCCCCAGATTCCCTCTGAGGGGTAATGGAAAAGTTGCTATGACGTATGAAGGAAGGTCATTAACTTGTGTGTGAGACGCAGGTTGTTAAAAATATGCCTGATTTGAAATGTTGCCTTTTGTCTAAAATTGCTTTGGGCTTGTCCACATGGAGATTTAGTGCAGGGCGAGCTTGGGTGTGACTCTACCTCGCACTAGCCTGCCGTGCTCTAACGGTCCCTGTGGACTCTGCTGATGTAGTCCTGTTTGATACGGGACCCAAGCAA